TTTGGTAAAGTATATCTAGGTAGCTTAAACAACAATGAGAATACATTAATAGCTGTTAAAATGTCACAATGTTCTGATGCATGCAACGAACCTGAAGCTAGGCATCAATTAATGGAAGAAATCAAAATAATGAAAGCAGCTGGTTCTCATACACATTTAGTCAGCCTTATAGGTTGCTGCACTTTACCAAATAATCCTATATGCATAATTTTAGAATATATGGAAGGTGGGGATTTGCTTGCCTATCTACATTGTAGAAGAAAAATCAAATCAGATGATATATCTTTGTGCAGTTTTGAAAAGGCTGTATCTAGGTACGCAAATATTGTTGAAAAAAATGACAATTTATATGATGTAATTGAGAAGCAACAATTTATGAAGTTTGCGCTTGATATTGCAAGAGGAATGGAATATTTGGAAGCTAAAGGAATTATACACAGAGATTTGGCAGCAAGAAACATCCTCCTCACTTCATTGTCAAATCCAACATTAAAGGTAGTAGATTTCTATTTGTGATCTCTGATCACAATTATTAAAAAATAGTATATGGAATATACTGATTTATTATGAATTTAGATTTCTGATTTTGGTTTGTCACGAAATGAAATATAATAAATAATATAATGGCAAAATTCATAAATTCCCAATATATTGGATATCATCAGAAGCTGAAGAATGTGATCATGCTTTCTCAATATCAAACATTTTAAATTTGGCGAAAGTAAAAAAAGTTTTAGTGCAACAACAAAAGATAGACCTAATATTACATAATAGGATCAATTTAAAGGAAAAAAAATAAATCATATATTTATTAAAAAATTCTAAAATAAATGTTTAGATATTAATAATTAAAAAAAATTATAAAATTTATGTCGTTTTCAGAAAAATAATTCAATAATATATATTTTTGTTCAATATTTACCATGTACCATAAGTATAAACTGTAAACGGACAGTGTAATACTATATAATACTATTACAATTTTGGAATATTATTTTATATGTCAAGATAATTAAGTTGCTTTAATTTATAAATCTTTTAGT